GAGTAAGATGGTTAAGGTTAGGGTTAAGGCTGGGTTGGGGTTATTTTATGGGAATGGCTGGTTAAGTTTAGACATGAATAGGTAGTTTGTTATATTTACTTCCGCTTCCGTCCAGATTCCGTATTGAACACTTGCATGTGACGTCCCGGCCACGCCCACTCTCCGTGACATACGGCGGAAGTCTAACTGCGAGCCTATGGAAACCTGACCAAAATTACCTGTTTCAGCAAATTACAGCCAAAACTGTGATACTTTGCAGTGCGGTTGGTTGTACTAACAGGCAAGGACATAAGCCAGATGTGTGGTTTTATCTGATACCTGCTCGTCGTGAAGACATCAGACGACGATAACGGAAATCAACCAAAAGGACTGGCAGCCGTGTACTCCCTAATATACAATGAACACTTTTTACAAGATAAATCAATCACAAGTTGTTTAAGTTTATTTTCTTTCCATCAATTTATTTGGAGGACAATGATACAAGTCAAACATGTCTCTTACTAATGTCCTGTATGTGCGCTACAACATGTTCCCCGCTGTGGCACGAATAAAGATCTATCATCTTATGTCTAATAAGATGATAGATCTTATTAGACATAGTGAAAAAGAGTCAGTTGCATTTTTCACTATTTCCCAGGTTTGGCTGTGGACAGAAAAGCCACAGAAAAGTGGACTATTGCTAATGCGCTAATGCTACCAGCTAAATGTACTTTTAAATCTGCTCCAGTGAAAGGGGATGCATTGTTAACAACATAATGATAAATATCATGTAGGGTGAATTCGGACAAAATTAGACATTTAATTTAATCGATACTGGGGGGAGAAGGTACGGGTCAATATCTAGTTCGGCGATCCTTAACTTCTCCAAATACCACTCTTTGTGTATGGAGGACCAAAAATGACTAAAGTATAAATAAATAATTAAATACAGGAATATATTAATAAATACATTCATTTTGGACAATAAAAACTAAATATTTACATTGATGTGTTAAATATTACTATGAAATCAAATAAATATACTTTTATTTAGGTTATTTATCAAAATCTACATTTTTTCCTTTATTTATTTATCCATTTATTGCATATATTTATTTATGTATTTCTACATTTCTTCATTTATTTATTTATGTATTTCTACATTTCTTCATTTATTTATTTATGTATTTCTGTGTCGCTACATTTCTTCATTTATTTATTTCTACATTTCTTCATTTATTTATTTATGTATTTCTACATTTCTTCATTTATTTATTTATGTATTTCTACATTTCTTCATTTATTTATTTATGTATTTCTGTGTTGCCGTATGCTAATTAGGCGGGCGGTGCTGAACTCAATCTAGAACAGGATTGGTGGGCAGTAGGTCAGCCAGGGCAACCAGACAGAAGCAAAGTTAAGCCTATAGCGTACATCGACAGAGAAACTGGGGACAACTAGTTGCAAGGCGGCTTTTGGCAACTGAGAGTAGATGGTGGGAGATGATCAGTTGCCGAAATCGGTCGATGTGAGCGCTCTTACAACTGGAGATGAACAGTCGGTCTCCAGTTTCAGTCAGTTGCCCGTGTTCTACTTTTCGGCAACTAGTTGTCCTCAGTTTCGGAGATATGACCCGATGTGCGCGCTCCATGCGCCGCTCCGACAACGTGTGTGTATTGCGTGTATTGCGAGCCCGCAACAGTTTATGTCAGAAAACACACTGTAGTTGAGGCCAGTTGCTGTCGATGTACGCGCTGTTATTCCCGAGACTGGTCTGCTACTGGGAGTTGCCTGTTTTCGTCAGATTGTCGATGTGTGCGGGGCAGCAACTCAGATGCGACGGATATAATCAGTTGCCAGTCCGATGTACGCTAGGCTTTAGCCTTCTCGGTTTGTGAGAGGATGTGAAGCTGCTGCTTGTTGAAGAGCGTCCAGCACAGTTGCATCAAAGTCTACCTCTGGGTCAGCACTGTGATGAACTAAAACATTTAATAGTCTGTCCAGCCGAAAGAGTAGATAGTCCTCAGGTGCATTATGCTCAACATCATTAACATCATTTGCTAATGCTCTTAATTGATGAGCAATGGCTCCTAAAAAACTTACATTCGAAACTGCCATCATACCACACAAAAGTGCACAGAGGATCTCTAGCTAGCTAACAGAGTACCGTAATGTGAGGCAGTAATGATCGAGACCAGAGTTCACGCAATCCTAACCAATCCTGTTCTAGATTGAGTTCAGCACCGCCCACCTAATTAGCATACAGGAACACAGAAATACATAAATAAATAAATAAAGAAATGTAGAAATACATAAATGAAGAAATGTAGCGACACAGAAATACATAAATAAATAAATGAAGAAATGTAGAAATACATAAATAAATAAATGAAGAAATGTAGAAATACATAAATAAATAAATGAAGAAATGCAGCGACACAGAAATACATAAATAAATAAATGAAGAAATGTAGAAATACATAAATAAATATATGCAATAAATGTATAAATAAATAAAGGAAAAAATGTAGATTTTGATAAATAACCTAAATAAAAGTATATTTATTTGATTTCAGAGTAATATTTAGCATATCAATGTAAATATTTAGTTTTTATTGTCCAAAATGAATGTATTTATTAATATACTCCTGTATTTATTTATTTATTTATACTTTAGTCATTTTTGGTCCTCCATATTTGTGAGCCCTGACCTGATGTCCTACTTCCACCTATAACGTAATCGAACATGTGCTTGAAGCAGCCACTTCTCGATTTAGGAGAGGAAGCTCCGTTTTAAAGAGTTGTGTCTGTTTTGCTCACGCCGCAATGCTAGTTTCCAATACTTCCGCCGTAAGCTCATTCACAATCACGTGACTGGATGACGTCGATGCATCTGGTCAATATGATCTAGTGCTGACTGTCACTCCCGTATTCGTCCCGGAAACCGGATTCGTCCGGAAGTTCAGTTTGCGCATGTCAAAAAGTTTAATATGTCCTTAAGTGGTGACTGGTTAAATTTTAGGCGTTTGAGTAAGATGGTTAAGTTTAGGGTTAAGGCTGGGTTGGGGTTATTTTATGGGAATGGCTGGTTAAGTTTAGACATGAATAGGTAGTTTTTTATATTTACTTCCGCTTCTGTCCCGATTCCGTATATGATCTAGTGCTGACCAGTAGATTACGTCAGCCAGCCATTCGCATAAAATAACCCCAACCCAGCCTTAACCCTAAACTTAACCATCTTACTTAAACACCTAAAACTTAACCAGTCACCATTTAAGCACAAATTAGTCTAAAATTATTTTGAAAGTAGGATTGTTACTTCCGGTTTCGTCCCGATTCCGTATATGATCATGGATGTATTATATTAACTGGATAGGGTATTACTAGCTTGTAGCTGAATAACTCATGTGCTCGGGGGATTCTCGCGGTACTGCAGACTGAACCAGACTAAATTCATGTGGGCTACCCAGAAATTTTCCCCATAGAACTCAATGCATATTAAAACAGCTCAACCTCAGCTGACAGAGAACCTACAGCTTTCATAAAGGTCGGATTTTGTGGGGATTTTAGTGTCCCTTGTCATCCTGAACTTTTTTTCTTCTTAAATCCTTCGGTTTTGTTTAAATCCACACTTTAGTGCCACAAACTCTGCTCCTCTGGCTCTCGCTCTAACTCCCGCTCTGATGAACTGCTCTGATTGGTCAGAGCGCGGCCGAGCCCCTCTGTGCACGTGCGTGAGACCCGGTGTGAGACCCACACACGCGTGTTTGGCGCAACGCATTATGGGAGATCATCCACTGCGCAGAACCGGGAGGACCAGACGATGCCCAAATACAGGCGAGTTTCCCATAGTTCTTTGCAAGTTTCAGGCAACTTCCGCTAATCTTTCAGCCCCAAGCCCCGGCGATCCAAGATGGCGCCCTATTCAAATGAATGGTTGTGCTCAGTGGCGCTTTGTGACGGCATGGGGGCTGAAAGATTAGCGGAAGTCGCCTGAAACTCTCAAAGATCAATGGGAAACTCGCCTGTATTTGGGCATCGTCTGGTCCTCCCGGTTCTGCGCAGTGGATGATCTCCCATAATGCGTTGCGCCAAACACGCGTGTGTGGGTCTCACACCTCACACCGGGTCTCACGCACGTGCACAGAGGGGCTCGGCCGCGCTCTGACCAATCAGAGCAGTTCATCAGAGCGGGAGTTAGAGCGAGAGCCAGAGAGCAGAGTTTGTGGCACTAAAGTGTGGATTTAAACAAAACCGAAGGATTTAAGAAGAAAAAAAGTTCAGGATGATAAGGGACACTAAAATCCCCACAAAATCCGATCTTTATTAAAGCTGGAGGTTCTCTGTCAGCTGAGGTCGAGCTGTTTTAATATGCATTGAGTTCTATGGGGAAAATTTCTGGGTAGCCCACGTGAATTTAGTCTGGTTCAGTCTGGTTCAGTCTGCAGTACCGCGAGAATCCCCTGAGCACATGAGTTATTCAGCTACAAGCTAGTAATACCCTATCCAGTTAATATAATAGATCCATGTTCAGTCCCCATGCCGTCACAAAGCGCCACTGAGCACAACCATTCATTTGAATAGGGCGCCATCTTGGATCGCCGGGGCTTGTATATGATCTAGTGCCGACCGTAATGTCATAATCTACTGCTGCGTATGATCAACGGATCAAACTGAACTTCCGGACGAATCCGGTCACGCACAAAGCTCCGTGACATGTAAATTTCTCCTCTGTGAGATAAATAAAGCACATCTTATCTTAAGGATCAGTGAGACAGCGCCCTCTGCTGGAGTCAACAGGAAGCACAAGTGGGAATTATTATTTATAATGTTTGTTTTTGCAGCAATGAGCCAATCTTTATTATTCACATGAAATATAATCTCTATGGTTTTCCTCTTGTCACGCTCTGGTCTCTTTCTGGTCTCTCTCTGGTCTCTCTTTCTGGTCCGGCTCTAGTCTCTCTCTCTGGTCTCAAAGAACACACTGAGGAGAATCACATATTTTATTACAAACACAAACTTCAGACGTAGTTAGAGGCAGGAGCTCTGTAGGAGACGTGAGGATCAGAGAACTTCCCCGACACCTGACTGCAACACAGAGAAGGAGTGGTGGTAGTAATAGTGGTAGAAGTAGCAGTAGTAAAAGTAGTAGTGTTAGTAGTAGTAGTAGCAGTAGTAAAAGTAGTGTAGCAGTAGCAGTAGTAAAAGGATAGTACTCACTTCCCTCTGGCTCCTCCCCCTCTCAGGCTGCAGCAGAGCAGACTTCCTCCCATCACAGAGAGAGCAGATCCAGACCAACCCCAGTACACAGCAGACCCCAACTCAAACCTACACGCACACGCACGCACACGCACGCGCACGCACGCACGCACGCACGCACACACACACACACACACACACACACACACACACACACACACACAAAGACACACACGTCAGGAGAAGATGGTTCTTATCTCCCTCTGGTCTCTCTCTGGTCCCTCTGGTCTTTCTGGTCCCTCTCTCTGGTCTCTGGTCTCTTGTCTCTCTCTCTGGTCTCTCTCTGGTCTCTGGTCTCTCTCTGGTCTCTCTCTCTGGACTTTCTCTGGTCTCTCTGGTCTCACACAGACCTGACTCCGCCGTACACTGGGCTGTAAAAGTCCTGGATGACTCGACTCGCAAACAGAGAGACGGCAACAAGACTGAGGAGACCTGGAACAGAACACATTTGAACCAGACTGAATCAGACTGAACCAGACTGAACTAGACTGAACCAGACTGAATCAGACTGAACCAGACTGAACTAGACTGAACCAGACTGGACCAGACTGACCTGCAAGAATGAAGAGAGTTCCTCCGCTCAGGGTCAACTGGGCTTTAGTCCGGTCTGAGACTCCACTGAACCTGGTGCACTTCAGACCCAGAGCCGAGACAAGAGACGAGACCAAGTCCAGGACCAGAGCCAGGATCATGAGGCCACGGCACACCTGTATGTGGACTGAAGAGAAAAGGACTAAAACCAGGGAGAGACCTGAGACCAGTGAGAGGCCAGGGAGAGACAGATCATCTCCATCCATTCATTTTCTTCCGCTTCATCCGTTGCCGGGTCGCGGGGGCAGCAGTCTAAGCAGAAACGCCCAAACTATCCACTCAAACTTCCTCCAGCTCATCCGGGGGGACCACAAGGCGTTCCCAGGCCAGAGAGAGACATAGTTCCTCCAGCGTGTCCTGGGCGTCCAGGAGGCATCCTGAACAGATGCCCGAGCCACCTCAACTGGTTCCTCTCGGCGTGAAGAAGCAGCAGCTCTACTCCGAGCTCCACCCGTGTGACTGAGCTCCTCACCCTATCTCTAGAGGGAGCAGCCACTCTGAGGAGGAAGCTCATTTCGACCGCTTTACCCAAAGCTCATGACCAGAGGTGAGGGAGGGAACTTTCGGCTCAGCTCCCTCTTCACCACGACGGTCCAATACAACGACCGCATCACTGCGCACGCTGCACCGATCCACCTTCAATCTCACGCTCCATCCTTCCCTCACTCGTGAACAAGAGCCCGAGATCCTTGAACTCCTCCACTTGAGGAAGGACCTCTCCTCCCGCAGATCATTTATGGGGGAATAAAGTTCTCAGAGCAGATTCTGCATTGATATTGAACCCAAAGAACATTTGATGATAGAAATTTTACAAACAAAAGGTCTGGCCTAGTCTATACCTGGTCCAAACCTGGTCTAGACCCAGTACCTGGAAGTCCCAGGACGGTCTTGAACCTGGAGCACTGCACAGAGCCGCTGCTCGTGGCTGCACAGCTCATCCACAGTCCCTCGTACGTCCACTGGGAGGCGATGACCGACTCCATCTGACTCCGGACCTGCACAGGCATGGAGACGAATCGATGCATTTAAGAGCAGTGTGTGATATTTTTGAGACTAAAGTTACAGACCCCAGCTTTAAACATGTGTTATTGATGTGACTAAAGTTACAGACCCCAGCTTTACCTTCCAGTGGTGTGAGGAAGTGCAGCTTGAGGTCAGACCCCAGGAGAGGAGACCCAGGACCAGGCCCACAATCTGCAGGACCAGGGACATGGGCTGTAGACACAGAGGACCATCAGAGGGACCAGAGAGAGACCAGAGAGAGAGACCAGAGAGACCAGAGGGACCAGAGAGAGACCAGAGAGAGCGACCATAGAGAGAGACCATAGAGAGAGACCAGAGAGACCAGAGAGACCAGAGAGAGACCGGAGAGAGACCAGAGAGACCAGAGACAGACCAGAGAGAGACCGGACAGACACCAAGATAATGACTAAACTGAGACCCATTGATGACGAGAAGCACAACTTACGGAGGATTAGTTAGAAAACGTAGTCCTGCTTCTGTCCCAGTTTAAACCTGCTTTAGTCCCGGTTTATACCTGCTTTTGTCCCGGTTGAGACCTGCTTTAGTCCTGGTTGAGTCCTGCTTTAGTCCCGGTTTAGACCTGCTTTAGTCCTTCTTTAGACCTGCCTTAGACCTACTTTAGTCCCGGTTTAGACCTGCTTTAGTCCTGGTTGGAGAGAGATTCCAGTTTCTCTTTGTGTCATTGACCTCTGAAAGCAAACGGCTCTGACCAACAACAGTCAGAGAGAAAAGCCCAGTTTATTTGTTTAGCACAGGTCACACAGGGCTTTGAAAACAGAGAGAAACATTTAAAGTTCAAACACAGATCTCTCACTTTCATCCATGGTATCTCTCTGGTCTCTCTCTGGTCCCTCTCTGGTCTCTCTCTGGTCTCTCTCTAGTCTCTCTCTGGTCTCTCTCTCTGGTCTCTCTCTGGTCTCTCTCTATGGTCTCTCTCTATGTTCTCTGTGGTCTCTCTCTCCGGTCTCTCTCTAGTCTCTCTCTGGTCTCTCTCTCTGGTCTCTCTCTATGGTCTCTCTCTATGTTCTCTGTGGTCTCTCTCTCCGGTCTCTCTCTAGTCTCTCTCTGGTCTCTCTACGGTCTCTCTCCGGTCTCTCTCTAGTCTCTCTCTGTCTCTCTCTGGGTCAAAGTTGTGTCTAATTTAACATCTTCTGAAATAAATAAAAACTAAAGTTAGGAAAGCAGAAGTCTTCGTCACGTTTGGACTTTGAGGAAGTGACATCACACCCCCTGGTTGCCGTGGTCACTGTGGTCATGTGACTCCTCGTGGGGCGCCGTGTGACGAGTTTTTAAAGCTGGGCACGTAACTTTAGTCTCATAAACAGTGATGGCTGTAACACACAAAAAGGTAATGTGTAGCTACATTTTTACTGTCTCTGAATTGTAAAGCATCACACATCACTGCATTTCTACGAAGTTACTTTCCCCAAATACAAACTAAATGTAGCGTTTGTCCCAAATTTGTGCATCTTTGGTGTCTTTTCTTGGCAGGATTCTAATGTTAAGGAGTCCCAGGAGGCTGATCCAGATCCAGGAGGAGGCCCACAGTGGTCCCACAGCTCGCCTCTTGCATGCCATCCTGAGGGATTTTGTGACTGGTTTACCCCCATCCAGTGGTCATACGTCATTCTTACCATCGTGGACAGGTTTTTTTGAAAGCCGCTCATTCTGTGGCCCTACGCTGCTGAACTCTTGATCCAACATGTTGCCTTCATGGTATTCCCAGAGACATTGTTTCAGATAGAGGCCCTTGGTTCTTCGTTCAGGTTTGGAAGGCGTTTTCCGGTCTCTGGACATTTCTGTGAGTCTATCGTTACCTGCACCAATCCCAGTCCCAGTCCCTCCACATCTGCCTCCAGGATCCACCATCTGTTTCACACAATCTGTTACCTGCATTTTGGGTCTGCCATTCTGTTGAACAAAGGAAACCATGAGGGGACCGGGGACTGTCTCCAGGACCATCTGCACACCTGGTCCAATCTCAGGACCTGCTGTAGTCTCAAGAGCTGGTCCGGTCTCAAGACCTGGTTGTGTGTGTTTCCTGTTTCCATATTTGGGCGAGTGTGTGATATAAAAGGGGAAGACTTCCTCTGAGCTCTGGTCCTTTTGCTGCTGCTGCTACAAGGTGAGAACCAGAGAGACCAGGGACCAGAGAGCGACCAGAGAGACACGGAGAGAGATCAGAGAGAGACCAGAGAGAGGAGTAAATAATCTTTATTTATATTGAGCATTTCACAGACCAGAGTCTTAAAGCGTATTACAATTGTAGTGGGAATTTTTCTCTCACTCCACAGAGATGGGAGCGAGGGGGACATACAGGCGCATGCCAGACATATTGTACATGGTTTTAGTGGTAGGGCAAACTGGAGCACCCGGAGGAAACCGGAGCAGACTCGGGGAGAACATGCAAATTTCAGTCAGAAAGGCCCTGCATCGACCGGGATTCAATCCCAAGACCTTCTTGCTGAGAGGCAAGAGTGCTATCCACTCAGCCACAGTGTCGCCCAGAGAGAGACCAGAGAGAGACCAGAGAGTGACCACAGAGAGAAAACAGAAAAACCTGAGAGAGACCAGAGAGAGAGACCATAGAGAGAGAGACTAGAGAGAGACCAGAGAGAGACCAGAGAGGGATCAGAGAGATTATGTTCTTTTGTTGTTGTTGTGGTGATGACGTTGTGTTATGGTTGCAGATGTGCGTGTCCAGGTGTCTGCGCTGTGTGGGCGTGGCTCTTGTTGCCTTGACGATCGTCTCCTTCCTGTCAAACCTCTTCCTGTTGTTTCCACATATGGAGACGCGCTTCCTGTTGGAGGGTCATGTGACCAGAGAGGCGCTGTGGTGCACCGGGCTGTGGGGCTCCGGACTCACGGTTAGAACCATCGAGTTGAAATGCTATTGCTTGCTTGCAATTGACGTCACGTCCGCCTCATTACATATGCGTATCACGGACTGGTGGTCAGCCGAGCTAGTTGTTCACTAGAGCAGCGTGTCTGAATATACCTTTTGCATGTGTTGTTTTAAGTTTTCTAACCGATCGAATCGTGAAACCTTTAATGGATAGCTAATGCTAAAACTATGGCTAACAATAATGCTAATGCTAAAACTATGGCTAACAAATATGCTTAAGCTAACTGTTACAAGAGGTTGTCTGATTAAGTCTGTGTTTTAAAACTAAACTTATTTTCTAAAATATATTACTAAGTTTATCTTACTCCACTAACGTCACGCACTACCCACAATTCCGCAGTTCGCCATTTTAAAAGTCAAGCCGCCGCTAGTTGTAGGTAATCAAAGCGCTCAAATCACTTTTTTACGCTAAAACATGCCGACTGCCTGCGTCGTTTGGGGGTGCAGTAACCGCGCAGATTGTGGGGACATTCAGAAGGCTAGTACGAGCCAGGGGAGCGACTCGAGACGGAGAAAAGAACACTATTCTTGGGAGGATCAACCGAGAGGGATTGATTGTTATTTATTTATTTGAGCATTTTGCAAACATATTTTTTTCATTATTACAAGATTACACTGTTGTAAAGTAATCTAAATCTAAAGCGGGCTCTGATTGGCTGATTAGCGGTCTGATATTTTCCCATCTCAGACCATTACCATGACAATCAGTCCGCAGCGCGTATCACAGTTGATTTCTTTCCTGAGTTTCCTCGGTAAAAAAGAAATAATGGGCGACAACTGGGAGCTCCCAGTGAATTCTATTATCCGGACGAGTTTGACAAGCCAGAGAAAGAAATTACAGAAAATAACGAAGAAAAAATAACTAGCAGACAAGATGAGATTGACAACTTTGTTGCAGACCAGAAAGCTAAAAACACGATAAGGAAAACCAAACCAAGTACAAAATAAAACTTGGTTTAAAACTTGGCGCTCGGTTAATAAGCCGTTAATATAGGCGCCTCGAGCCTCCCATCTAAATGAATGAGAGGGGGAGGGGGAAGGGTGGTAGACAGAAGTGATTTATTGCCTGTGATATCAACTGCTCCGTTCAAAATAAAATATTAATTGAAAGAAAAATCGCATCATATACATCATGACCTTTTTTTAATTGTAAAACTGTTAAGTGAGAGTAAGACATTTCAGGCGAAGTCCATTGGTCTCGCTGCGTTTCATATGGATCCAAATCTCCGATCATTATCAATTTCTCCAAGGATCTTGCATCACAGATTACTCCAGTGTATCAATATACTTAACGCGGTCAGTGTTGGCCGAATTCGTGGCTTCAGATGACATGGGGACAAATGATACGTGACAAATGATCCATGACAAGTGATACGTGCAATTTAAGCTTGACTCGCAACATGACGTTCGTGCAACTCATCATGGGTAATAAGATTGTGATGGAAAACCATGTATTAGCATCACATTAGCATACATCTGCTTAAACTGATTCGGTTGTTTTGGTTTGACAAAACCGTGTGTGTGTGTGTGTGTGTGTGTGTGTTACAGGTTCTTCTTGGAGCTCGTTCGTTTCTTGTGTCCAGTCACACAAGCGGCTGTTGTGCGTTCAGGAGCAAGGTGACTGTTCATCCGAGCCAAAATGTCTCCTCACTTCTGATATTCTCACTGATCTCTCTGGTCTCAACTCACTTGTCCCCTGCTCTCCTCAGATGGTCTCCTTGGTCCTGGTCTCTCTGGTCTGCTGTGTAGTTGCTGGTTTCTCATCTCTGGTGTCTCTCACTGGTCTGGTCCAGGGGCCAATGTGTTTGTACAACTCCACCAGCAGAGGTCCGACATGGGGCGTCCCGCTGAAGCCCACCGCCGACAGGTCAGTCCTCAGTCCTGGTTTAGACCTGGGTTTAGACCTGGGTCAGACCTGGTTTTCCTCTCTCCACAGAGACCCTGGATACTTGTGGAACTCGTCCCTCTGGTCCTCGGTTTGCATGGAGCCTCAGGACGTGGTCCAGTGGAATCTGGTCTGGTTCGGTCTTCAGTCTGGATCCGGTCTGGTCCAAACTCTGCTGTGTGCGATAAACCTGCTGAACGCAATGATGGGACTGGTGCTGGGACCCAACCAGGTCAGAGACCAGAACTGAGACCAGAACTGAGACCAGGACTGAGACCAGGACTGAGACCAGGACTGAGACCAGGACTGAGACCAGGACTGAGACCAGGACTGAGACCAGGACTGAGACCAGGACTGAGACCAGGACTGAGACCAGGACTGAGACCAGGACTGAGACCAGGACTGAGACCAGGACTGAGACCAGGACTGAGACCAGGACTGAGACCAGGACTGAGACCAGGGCCGAGACCAGGGCCGAGACCAGGGCCGTCTTAACATTAATTTTTACATTAACCTAAACGTTTTGATTTTACACTGTACACTTGTACAGCTATTATCTTATACTATTTTTTAAAACACTAATATGATTATTCTGCAAAGCTATGTACATTTTTTGTTGAATTTGTATCTTATTGGACCATATAGCTAATAAATCTCACTATCGGACTCCGACCAGGGCCGAGACCAGGGCTGAGACCAGGACATTAAGCCGTTGCTATCCACAAACTTGCAAAAAAATTGGCTCCACATTTGAAGAACCTGGTCTCCATGATGTCTGCCCATTCAGATCAATGGGTCCTTGGTTCTGGGTCTTGGATCTTGGTTTAACCCTGGTCTTCTCTTCCAGGTTGGTCGGACTAAAGCCTGAACTGTCGTCATCGATCCAGACTCTTCTGCACTTTATCCACCTATTTACTATTTATGTTTAAACTTATCTAAATAAATTATGAACAAATGAAAAACAACTGTGACATTTATTTGGAAAAGTCCTGGTGCAGTCCCAAGACCAAGGTCTCTCCAAGATGTCTGCCCCTGGTCTCTCCAAGATGTCTGCCCCCGGTCTCTCCAAGATGTTTGCTCAGTCAGATCAGTGTCCTGGTCTCATTGGTTCATACTCGCAAGAGACCAGAGAGAGAGAGACCAGAGAGAGACCGGAGGTCACCCATCACAGAACTGACCATGTCCTGCCCCGCTTAGTTTCATAGGTCCTAACAGGATCTGCAGGTGGAAAAACTCAGAACGATTTGTTCTTTGGAGGAAAACAGTTAAATATAATGTACAGTAGAATATCTGCAGACTGTGATGGGAGACCTCAGAAGCTCAGCAGGGAAAGACCTGGTTAGCACTGTGATGGGAGACCTCTGAAGCTCAGCAGGGCAGGACCTGGTTAGTACTGTGATGGGAGACCTCTGAAGCTCAGCAGGACAGGACCTGGTTAGTGCATCTTCGAGAGTCCAGAAAAGTTCTGTATAAAATCAATGCATTAATATAGTTATTATTAATCCATCCATCCATTTTCCACCCCTTAATCCATTTCTGGGTCTGGGGGGTGGCAAGCAGAGATGCTTCCCAAGTCACACAACACCAGCTCCTCACTGATCCTCCTGCAGGTGGTGAGTCCACAGGAAGATGGCTGCTCTGTCAGTGTGAGCATAGCCTTGATATTTCAGTGGGGGCTTCGGGCAAATATTATTATTGTGGTGGTGTCTGTAGTACTCCGCTCACACAGCAGGGGGAGACACTGGACTGAGGATCGAACCTTTAACGCAAACGGTGACATCACTCAGGTCAGAATCTGATGAGACACATTTACTCTGAAAAATTCAAGACTTCTTCAACAAACAAGATATCCAAAATATCTGGCCTCCATGGTCTCTCTCTCTGATCTCTCTCTGGTCACTCTTTCTGGTCTCTCTCTGGTCTCTCTCTGGTCTCTCTCTCTCTCTCTGGTCTTTCTCTGGTCTCTCTCTGGTCTTTCTCTGGTCTTCACTTTCAGTTTTTTGTGAATAAGTCACATTCCTGAAGTGTATATATTCCTCAAACAAACACCTGGTCCAGTCCTTTAAGTTAAGTTACACTTTTGACACTCACACACACACGCACGCGCACACACGCACGCACACACGCACACACACATCAGCAGCAGCGGAGGAATGCGTTCGTGCTGCTGTAAACATCTGGATCCGTGTCAAACAGCCCCCCCTCACGTGCACGCGCGTTCCCCCTCACGCGCGCACGCCCCTCCTCCCCCTCCTCTCTCTTATCGCTGATGGGAGATCCCTGTCGCGCAGAGGACTTTCTTTCGTCCGCTGTTCTTGCTCGGTTCTCCGGCTTCTGTGGACTGTATCGGACCGGGTTGGACCGCGCTGGACCGGGTTGGACCGGGTTGGACCGTGTTGGACCGCGCTGGAGCTGATGCTTCGGGACTCGCATGTCTCCGCTCTGAGGTACCGCTGCTCCGTCCTGCCTCCACAGCTCGAGAACCTCCTGAACCCGCGCCACACTGTAAACTGATCCTGGATCTGGGCTCACTTTGTTTTCAAGTTTTCTCTGACTTAAATCTGGTCCAGAGCCGGGACTAGACCCAGAGCTCCACATCCATATTTGTACATTTATGAACTTAGAAAGACTTTTGTCCAAGTTAAACATGTGATAGACGTATGGAGGATTTGAGTCCTGATTCAGTCCTGGTTCTGACCTGATTTAGTTCTGGTTCAGACCTAGTTCATTCCTGGATCAGACCTAGTTCAGTCCTGGTTCAGTTCTGGTTCAGTCCTGGGTTTTCCCTTGTGGTTCCCAAACCTCTTTTCCTTCTGTCTGAGTTTGACCCACATTCTGGATTCTGAACTTCGAGACAGAACTCTCTCTGATACAAATACTTTATATCATTTATATCAATCTGAACAAGTGATGAAATCACTGTAACTGTGACATCACTCACTAACTATGACATCACTGTAACTGTGACATCACTCACTGACTATGACATCACTGTAACTGTGACATCACTCACTAACTATGACATCACTGTAACTGTGACATCACTCACTAACTATTACATCAATATGTAAATATGACATCACTCTGTAACTATGACATCACTCTCTAACTATGACATCACTGTAACTATGACATCACTGTAACTATGACATCACTGTAACTGTGACATTTATTTATTATTATTTATTTTATTTGAAAAGGGACAATGTACTATTAGAACATAAATGTTTCCATTTGATGCATTGTACCGGAGTTAGCCTTAGGCTAATTTGCATCCGTAGTCCCCCATCACTGTAACGCATCACTCTCTAACTATGATGTCACTCTATGACATAATTTTCTGATTATGACATCACTGTAACTGTGACATCGTTGTGATTTAGGGAAATACAAGAATAAATTGTATTGTATTGTTTACATCACTGTAACTGTGACATCACTGTGGTGACATCACTCGAGGAGGACCTCTCTTGTCAGTCATCACAGTGGGGGCGGGACACTGACATGCTGTAATCAGACTTCTGTGGTGGTGTACAGGAAACAGAATTATCCAGTAAATTCTGACAACACCTTCTTGAGAAAAGTGTTTTTTCACCATTTGGGGAGGGGCTACTCGCAGCAATTTTGAAACGGTCCATGTTGATCACAAATACATTGCAACGGAGAAAATAGGCGTCACTACGTCCTTGAAGGTACACTGTGTAGTTTTTGCTCCCATCTAGCATTGAGATCATATATTACAGTCCTTTGGTGCTACGGGTGCTTGGAAGGATAATATGTCGTCTTTGACAGTGGTCCCCAACTCCAGGTCATTCGAACTGGGGCCAAGGAAAGAATCCTTTAGTTTGATAAATGACCAGATCCCTCCATACGTCTTAAAAACCATCAGAGAAGCCAGGACATCGCCTTGGACATGGATACACAGCTGCGGCAGAACTGTAACCGCTGCATTCAGACAGAGGGGGCGGGGACAGAGTTGGAACGTGAAGAAAAGAGAGGCCTCCAAGAGGCTCCAGGGACAAATGTTATCATAGCAACTACCTGACAACCAAAGAGCCAATCAGGAGTGACGCTGGTCAGACAATATCACAATATAAACACCAGGATCAACGTAACTGAATTTAATAAGTCAATAGGAGCCAAACTTCACCATGAGCACTTCTCTATAAGGCTCCATTGAGCTAGCGAGCTAGTAGGCTAGCATTTAGCTAGCAGATTATCATAGTCCATCTGTTTACGGTCTGGTTTTACCCTCTCAGACGTGGAATTCCTGTGTAGTATTTGATGTTGTACTTTTGTGTTGCACTTGTACACATTTGAACAGTATGTGTTTCTCTCTCTGTATGTGTGTGTGTGTGTGTGTGTGTGTATTTGAGGGACTTTATGACTGCTCTGCACACATGTTGCCTCAAACATGAGACAAAAGACAGAGAGTGTTCTGTTTACAAGAAGCAACATGGGAAAACAGGCAGGAGGCCAGTCCCTGTGTTCCTCAGAGTTAGTTCTTATGGCACTAACATGTCACATACAGTATGTACTTTGGTGCGAGGCCATGGAGAGACTTGTAACAAACAGAGGCCTGAGACCAGGACTAACGTGAGGGTAAAAGAGGGTGATGTTATTGATTTGATGTGGCTGTTGAAAGTCAGAGTCCATTATTACTCTCTCTCTGGTCTCTCTCAGCTCTCTCTCTCTGGTCTCTCTCTAGTCTCTCTGTCTGGTCTCTCTCTCTCTGGTCTTTCAGTGGTCTCTCTTTGGTCCCTCTCTGGTCTCTCTCTGGTCTCTCTCTCTGGTGTCTCTCTGGTCTTTCTCTTGTCTCTCTGGGGTCTCTCTCTGTCTGGTCTCTCTCGTCTCTCTGGTCTCTCTCTGATCTTTCTCTGATCTTTCTCTGTCTTTATCTGGTCTCTCTCGTCTCTCTGGTCTCTCTCTGATCTTTCTCTGATCTTTCTCTGTCTTTATCTGGTCTCTCTCTGGTCTCTGTCTCTCTCTGGTCTCTTCATACCAATACGTTACGCCCCCTGCTCTCTGATTGGTCTGCCTAAGTGGGGTGCGCTTCCTTGGTGCTCTCCGATTGGCTCGTTCCTCTGGGTACGTTGGATTCTGTGGTAGACCTCTGTCTCCTCTCGCCTCCACCACAAACCAGACTCGTAATGTTCTAATGGAGCGGGTTCGTTTGTGATGAGAACAACATTAAAGCTGAGGGACGTAACTTTAGTCTCAGACCACAACATGCTGTCTTCATCTTAACGTTTGTGTAAGGAAGACCCTGTGAGTCACTATTTGACTCTTTGGGCTGAAACATGGTCTCTCTCTGGTCTCTTTCTGGTCTCTCTCTCTGGTCTCTCATTGGTCAGCTCTAATGTTACAGACCCCAGCTTTAATCATGATCTTACACCAGCAGATTCAGCACAGAGCGTTGTGTGAGGGGGAGGGGAACTTTTCTCCTGTAACTTTAGACCAGGCCAAGTTAATCCAAGTATTTCCTGGTTTGACCCAGGACTCAAGAACCAGGTCTGAACCAGGTCAAAACCGAGTCTGAACCGGGTCAGAACCGGGACTGAACCAGGTCTGAATTGGGTCTAGATCCGGTCTTAAGTGGTCTTATTAGCAGGACATATCTGTGGTTATTCTTGGAGCAGACTGAAGTTTCTAAAACAAATGAACAAAAATAAAGACGTCATTTTTGGACCAGAGTCAAGAATGTGAGTCTGAAAAACCAGGACTGCACCAGGACTGGACCCGGACTGAACCAGGACTGGACCCGGACTGAACCAGGACTGAACCAGGACTGAACCAGGACTGAACCTGGACTGAACCAGGTCTGTAGGAGTTCCTGGCCTGTGTAGTCTTTGATCTCATTAGAACTTGTTGTGTTTCTTCTTCAGGTCTTCGCGTCCTGTGACATCACATCATGCCTGAGGGGGCGCGCCGCAGTCAGAGAAGCAACTCAGGTCCGATTTATTTAGAAAAACAGAATGTGGATAATACTGTATTCAAATGTATCTGCACTAGGACTAGACCAGGACTGGACCAGGACTTGACCATGTCCTGGTCTGAACCAACTTTATTTAATTTTAATTTTAAGTCTCAGCAGAAGTTGTCTCTGAGAACTTTACAAAGTTTCCTCAACAACAGAGGTTTCCTCTGTTCATCTGTTCCTGAGGTTTCCTCAACAACAGATCAGAGAATCAAACAGTTCAAACATAGGAAATGCAATAATAACAAACACATAGAACCATTGGTCCATAGGGAGCGAGACTGAGGCTGTAGATCCAGGACTGAGGCTGTAGATCCAGGACTGAGGCTGTAGATCCAGGACTGAGGCTGTAGATCCAGGACTGAGGCTGTAGACCCAGGACTGAGGCTGTAGACCCAGGACTGAGGCTGTAGACCCAGGACTGAGGCTGTAGATCCAGGACTGAGGCTGTAGATCCAGGAGTGAGGCTGTAGACCCAGGACTGAAGCTGTAGATCCAGGACTGAGGCTGTAGATCCAGGACTGAGGCTGTAGATCCAGGACTGAAGCTGTAGACCCAGGACTGAGGCTGTAGACCCAGGACTGAGGCTGTAGATCCAGGACTGAGGCTGTAATAAAAATCATGCATTGGTTTTACACAGAGCTTTTCAGGACGCTCAAAGTCTTTTCACATCATTATTCATTCACTCCATACACAGTGGTGATAAACTACTACTGTAGCCACAACTGCCCTGGGGCACACTGACAGAAGCGAGGCAACCAGTATGTGCCATCGGCCCCTCCGACCACCACCAACCATTCACACACACAGACTCATTCTAATGTGGGTGAAGTGTCTTCCCAGAGGTCTCCCGTGACTAGTACTAACCAGGGCCTGCCCTGCTTAGCTTCAGAGGTCTGACAGGATCTGGAATCCGCAATTATGGCCACTGTAGACCCAGGACTCAGGCTGTTGATTCTTAAGAAGCTCTCAGGAGGACTGTCCACAGATGCAAATGGCAGAGGGGGGGGGGTTCAGGGGTCCCATTATCAATGAGACATTGGGTGAATAGCAATGAACAGACTACAGCTGAAGTCCTAATTATGACAGATAAAGTAGAGGACAGTGCTGTTACCAGTTACCAGAGTTCTCCAGCAGGGGGCTCCACATTCAGCGTCGCTGATAATCTGTGTTTTAGACTAAGGTTTGCTTTCAGCGCAAAGTCATTGTTGACGTCTGTTTGAGCGTGGAACTGCATGTGCGTCGCAGCACGCACGGACTGCACAGCGGAAGTACTGTTTAATAATAATATAAAATATACTCATGGTGCAGCTCCGTGAACACATACTGCTGTTATATAAAGTCTCTGGAAGGTCTCAGACAGAGACGCTGCAGAGCTGCATTATTGGAGAAGAACTTTACTCAAAAAACCGTGGCTAGCTTAACTCCGTTAGCATCAAAGCCCACCCGCCACAGGCCAGGACTTCAGGTCTAAACGCCCCAAGCCGCTGAAATTTAGAGAATGTGCGTCAAGTGCGCATGGAAGCTGCGTTTAAGCGTCGGTGTTTGAGTCTCACAGAAGCATCTTCTGAAGTAAAGACTGTTTTAAGCCTCGAACAGCTTCCTGGACGTGGACGTGATTCCACAGTAACGGAGCTTGAAGCTAAATGTTCTGCCTCCAACTGCACTTCAGGACTCTTTTGGACCTAGCAGGAGTCTGGCCTTTGGGAGCGCAGTGAGAGAGTTTAGTTGGCATGTCCTGGATGTAGGAGGGAGCCATGCCATTTATGGCTTTGTTAGAAGAAGGATTTTAAATTTAGTTCTATACTCCACATGAAGCCAGTGGGGTGAGTGGGCTCCTCCTGTAACACAGAGTCTGTGAAGAGCTCGCAGTAGAGCCGCTGCTCTCCAGTCACACAGAGTCTGTGAAGAGCTCGCAGTAGAGCCGCTGCTCTCCAGTCACACAGAGTCTGTGAAGCGCTCGCAGTAGAGGAGCTGTGAGGAGCTCACTAAAACTTGTGGATTTTTCACATTTTTGATTCGTGACACAAGGATGTCCTTTTACGGCAAAGAGCAACCGATTAAAGCTAAAAATAAGAGAAGACTGGATCAGGACTGGACCAGGTCCGAACCATGTCTAAACCAGGTCTAAACCAGGTCTCAACCAGGTCAAAACCAGGACAGAACCAGGTCAAAACCAGGACAGAACCAAGTCAAAAACAGGTTTAGCTCGTACACATGTCTCTCAGATCTCGTGTTGTTGTGAAGTCTCAGTTTCGTCCAAACCAAAACTTTCTCCAAAACTCAAGACTAATTTAAAGTTAACGATCTGTAATTACACACAGGAAACAGGACCCAGCGATTACAGACATTAAGCAAGAATGAGGCGGAAAATACACCATACACACACTCCACATGGTCCACTGCACCAGAAAGGGACCAGAGAGACCAGATAGTGACCAGAGAGAGACCAGAGAGAGACCAGAAAGAAACCAGAAAGAGACCAGAGAGAGAGACCAGAGAGCAGCAAGAGATCGACTCTCTCTTTGGTCTCTCTGGTCTCTCTCTGGTCTCTTGCTGGTCTCTCCCTGGTCTCTATGGTCTCTCTCTGGTCTCTCTGGTCTCTCTCTGGTCTCTTGCTGGTTTCTCCCTGGTCTCTATGGTCTCTCTCTGGTCTCTCTGGTCTCTCTCTCTGGTCTCTCTCTGGTCTCTCTCTATGGTCTCTCTCTGGTCTCTCTCTACTCTTTCTCTGGTCTCTCTGGTCTTTCTCTGGTCTCTCTAACTGGTCTCTCTCTGGTCTCTCTCTGGTCTCTCTAACTGGTCTCTGTCTCACTGGTCTCTCTCTGGTCTCTCTAACTGGTCTCTCTCTCTGGTCTCTCTCTCTGGTCTGTCTCTGGTCCCTCTCTGGTCTCTCTCTGGTCTCTCTCTGGTCTCTCTCTCTGGTCTCTCTCTGGTCCCTCTCTGGTCTCTCTCTCTCTGGTCTCTCTCTGGTCCCTCTCTGGTCTCTCTCTGGTCTCTCTCTGGTCGCTCTCTCTGGTCTCTCTCTGGTCTCTCTCTGGTCTCTCTGGTCTCTCTCTGGTCTCTCTCTCTGGTCTCTCTCTGGTCTCTCTCTGGTCTCTCTGGTCTCTCTGGTCTCTCTCTGGTCCCTCCTCTGGTCTCTCTCTGGTCTCTCTCTGGTCTCTCTGGTCTCTCTCTGGTCCCTCCTCTGGTCTCTCTCTGGTCTCTCTTGGCGTCAGTAAACACACCAGTGGAATTTCCCTCTGAGTTAAACTAAAGGGAACGTGTTTCAGAAGACTGTAATAAAGCGAACTGTCATTAGGACCATGTGACGCAAAGAGCTCACGGCAGCTTCCACAACTCACCACCTCCTCATACCTGAAGGAGTCACCCAGCACCTCCTCATACCTGAAGGAGTCACCCAGCACCTCCTCATACCTGAAGGAGTCACCCAGCACCTCCTCATACCTGAAGGAGCAGACAAAAATCGGTCGTTCTCAAATACAATCAGGAACAGAGGCTGATGTTTGCTTCCAAATACACCTCAAATTGACGATCATGCTCTGGTCTCTCTCTGGTCTCTCTCTGGTCTCTCTCTGGTCTCTCTCTAGTCTCTCTATAGTCTCTCTCTGGTCTCTCTTTGGTCTCTCTCTGGTCTCTCTCTGTTCTCTCTCTGGTCTCTCTCTAGTCTCTCTATAGTCTCTCTCTGGTCTCTCTTTGGTCTTTCTCTGGTCTCTCACTGGTCTCTCACTGGTCTCTCTTTGGTCTCTCTTTGGTCTCTCTCTAGTCTCTCCTTGGTCTCTCTAGTCTCTCTGGTCTCTCTCTCTGGTCTCGCTCTGGTCTCTCTCTGGTCTCGCCCTGGTCTCTCTCTAGTGTCTCTCTCGTCTCTCTCTGGTCTCTCTCTGGTGTCTATCTCGGGTCTATCTCTGGTCTCTCTCTGGTCTCGCTGGTCTCTCTCTGGTCTCACACATGTACAGTAAGATGCCACTCACATGGTACTCTCAGCCACTTCCTTCCGCGGGTGTTGCACTCAGGAAGTCTGCAGCAGAGATCGCACCTGTCTCTTTGCTCCTTTGCTTCTCCAGGTTTTAGATCAAAAGAGTTTGTCTTTATGAACAATCAGTAGTGGTGATAGAACGCTTTGCACAGACTAAAGTTAAAGCTGGGGTACGTAACTTTATCCTCTCTACTCTCTCTCTGGTCTAACTTTGTTCTATCTCTGGTCTCTCTCTCTCTCTGATCTCTCTCAGGTCTCTCTCTTTTCTCTCTATGGTCTCTCTTTCGTCTCTCTCTGGTGTCTCCCTGGTCTCTCTGTCCTCTCTCTCTGGTCTCTCTCTAGTCTCTCTCTGGTCACTCTCGGGTCTCTCTCTGGTCTCTCTCTGGTCTCTCTGTCCTCTCTCTCTGGTCTCTCTCTAGTCTCTCTCTGGTCACTCTCGGGTCTCTCTCTGGTCTCTCTGGTCTCTCTCTGGTCTCACTCTGGCCTCTCTCTGGTCTCTCTCTGGTCTCTCCCTGGTCTCTCTGGTCTCTCCCTGGTCTCTCTCTGGTCTCTCTCTGGTCTCTCTCTGGTCTCTCTCTGGTCTCTCCCTGGTCTCTCCCTGGTCTCTCTCTGGTCTCTCTCTGGTCTCTCCCTGGTCTCTCTCTGGTCTCTCTCTGGTCTCTCTCTGGTACTCCCTGGTCTCTCCCTGGTCTCTCTCTGGTCTCTCCCTGGTCTCTCTCTGGTCTCTCTCTGGTCTCTCCCTGGTCTCTCTCTGGTCTCTCTCTGGTCTCTCTCTGGTCTCTCTCTGGTACTCCCTGGTCTCTCCCTGGTCTCTCCCTGGTCTCTCCCTGGTCTCTCTCTGGTCTCTCTCTGGTCTCTCTCTGGTCTCTCTCTGGCACTCCCTGGTCTCTCCCTGGTCTCTCTCTGGT